TAAAATGCAAATTTAATTACTTAAACATCATACAATGTGATTTTCTGAATTTTTGTTTTAGATTCCGTCTCTCACAGTTGAAGTGTACCTATGATAAATATTACAGACCTCTACATGCTTTGTAAGTAGGAAAACCTGCAAAATCGGCAGTGTATCAAATACTTGTTCTCCCCACTGTATATCCATCAGTGTCCATATAACGCTATTGCGGGAGTAAATTATTCTACCGATTTTAGGTCACCTTGTTGATATTATAGTGATGGTCGGGGGTAATATCGACGGCATTTAACAGTCTAGACATGTCTGTGGCACCTCAGCAGCAGATACCGTGACATTCGTCTGTCTGTCTGTCTGTGTTAAAGATGGCACAAACATTAATGTCCAGCTCCTCTGTACTGTATATTGGTTCCATTGTAAACCAAGTGCAGTATTTTACATTATGTATATGACCCAGGTCTGGTGTGCGTGCACCTAACTATCTGGTTTTTGTCCTCCCAAATCAAATTGTATTTGTCACATACACATGTTTAGCAGATGTTATAGCGGGTGTAGCGAAATGCTTGTGTTTCTAGCTCCAACAGCGCAGTATATCTAACAATTCACAACAATACACACAATCTAAAAGGAAAATAATGGAATTAAGGAATATATAAATATTATAAATATTAGGGTGTGCAATGTCGGAGTGGCATAGACTAAAATACAGTAGAATAGAATACAGTATATACATATGCAAAAATATGTAAACATTATTAGAGTGACTAGTGTTCCATTATTAAAGTGGCCGGTGATTTCAAGTCTACGTATATGGGGCAGCAGCCTCTAAGGTGCAGGGTTACGTAACCGGGTGGAAGCTGCCTAGTGATGGTGTGTGTTTGTGGTGTGTGTGTGTGTTTTTGTATGCCCCAAACCACCCATTCTTCCCATATGTTCCCAGGGAGTTAGGTCGCCCAGTTAGTTTCAAACGTAGTGTACTCGCATCCAATAACCTGCAGCTTATAAATTAATGAATTATGCAAGGAGGGGGTCTAATCCTGGTTGCTGATTGGTTAGAACTGCGTTCCAGCCGGTGTCTATTCCACAAGTTACCACCGGCTAAGGCTATGACGCAATCTACTCTCATCAGCCCAACCAGGCAATTAATAAACTTGATCTCCACTGTAAAAAATGATCTAGACATCATCTCCCCTTTCTTTTAGACAAGCATTTGGTTTTCAACAGCAGAGATTTGTATAAAGCTTGCTGTCTGTCTCTCCGACCTTCTCAATATTGAAATTTGATATCCACTGTCCCGTTTGAGGATTAACGTGTCAGGACGAGACATTCTCAGTCAGTCGAAATCATGAATCAGCATAATATTTATGGATATATACAAAGAAATGTCAATAGAAAAACAGGTCAAACAAAACGAAATGCAGCTAGTTTGCTGTATTTCCAGCTTCAGTTTGAAGTGATTGTGTTAGCTGTGTAGTTGGCTAGCTCCTCTGAACATTGTCCTGACGAGAGAGCACATTTTCTATGCCAGGCGAAATCGCTCATTATTAGCTCATTGTAAATGTAACTACAAAAAAAATGTCACTAGAAAACTGCTTAAACAAACGCAAATGCAGCTACTTTGCTGTTATTCTGGCTGCACTGTTTGACGTGACTGTGTTAGCCGTGGTTGGCTAGCTAGCAACCAAGGGATAAGAACGTTGCCAGGCGGCATGACAACGGAAGTTAATATTGCTTATTGTTGCCCAATAAACTGCGGGACCATTCATCAGTGTGCAGGTATCTATCTACATTTCATGAGGTTGTACTGTTAGACCAACTCCCCTGTGTGAGTGTGTATGCACTCCACAAACCATTCTGTGTCTCATCTCGCCTCTCTCTACCAGGGAGGTGGCCAGATAGACCAGTCCATGACTGCTGGGCCCATATGGCTCTGGTTAAATGTAGTGTACTATACTGAACAAAAATATAAACACAACATGCAACTATTTCAACGATTTTACTGAGTTACAGTTCATATAAGGAAATTAGTCAATTGAAATAAATTAATTAGGGCCTAATCTATGGATTTCACATGACTAGGCAGGGGTGCAACCACTGGGGAACCAGGCCCAACCAATCAGAATACTTTTTTCCCCACAAAAGGGATTTATTACAGACAGAAATAGTATTCAGTTTCATCAGCTGTCCGGGTGGCTGGTCTCAGACGATCCCGCAGGTGAAAAAGCCGGATGTGGAGGTCCTGGGCTGGCGTAGTTAGACGTGGTCTGCGGTTGTGAGGCCGGTTGGACGTACTGCCAAATTCTCTAAAACAACATTGGAGGCAGCTTATGGTAGAGAAATTAACATTTAATTCTCTGGCAACAGCTCTGGTGCACATTCCTGCAGTCAGCATGCCAATTGCACGCTCCCTCAAAACGTGAGACATCTGTGGCATTGTGTTGTGTGACAAAACTGCACATTTTAGAGTGGCCTTTTATTGTCCCCAGCACAAGGTGCACCTGTGTAATGATCATGCTGTTTAACCTCTATGGGATCAGTGTCCCGTATACGGGACGGTTGAGCTAAGGTGCGCTAATGTGATTGACTGTTGTAAGTAACAGCAAACTTTCCAGAACATAGACATGTCTTATATGGGCAGAAAGCTTAAATTCTTGTTAATCTAACTGCACTTTCCAATTTACAGTAGCTATTACAGTGAAAAAATACCATGCTATTGTTTGAGGAGAGTGCACAACAACAAAAAACGTATGATACATTCACCTCTGAAGGTAAATATTGTACTTACATTCAGTAATCTTGCTCTGATTTGTCATCCTAAGGGTCCCAGAGATAAAATGTAGCATAGTTTTGTTTAATAAAATCAATTTTTATATTCAAATGTAGGAACTGGGTTCTACAGATTGAACCCCTGCTGTCTCTGGCTCCCCACCCACCCCGCCCGGCCATCTAGATGTGTGAAAGTTAGTGTATAAGCTAATGATCCATCATGTATTACATTCCTGGGAGTGTGTAAACTTACATTTTGCATTTTTTATCATTTGTGTATGTTCTCTATAGTTATGTACTTGAAAATGTATCAATTGACCAATTCGCCACAAAGTGTTTCCCTTCAAATGGCATCAAGAATATGCATATCCTTGCTTCAGGTACTGAGCTACAGGCAGTTAGATTTGGGTATGTCATTTTAGGCAAATCCTTAAGAGGATAATTAATCAGCTTTTTAATATGCCACACCTGTCATGTGGATGGATTATCTTGGCAAAGAAGAAATGCTCACTAACAGGGATGTCCCTGGTTGATGACCCATGACCCTACTATTTTGTGGCGAGAGAATGCTCTTAAAGGGTGGTCTGCCCAGTGTGAGGGGCGGTGTCTGGGTGTTTCCATAGGGGCGACCTCGGTGGAAAGTCCGAATCTAATGCCAGCACTGCATATTCCCCCCCGAGTATGAGGATTTGAAACTGGTGTTTAGTAAAACTAGGGCGGCGCAGCTGCCACCTCATAGACTGGGGGATTGTGCGATAGATCTCCAGTCAGGAGCAGCTCTCCCGCGGAGCCATGTGTATCCCTTGTCTCAAGAGGAGAGGAAGGCAATGGAGACGTACATCGCTGAGTCTCTGAGACAGGGATACATACGGGCCTCCACTTCACCCGCTTCCTCGAGTTTCTTTTTTGTGAAGAAAAAGGATGGAGGTCTGCGCCCGTGTATTGATTACCGCGGTCTCAATCAGATTACGGTGAAGTTCAGCTATCCACTTCCTCTGATTGCGACTATGACGGAGTCATTACACGGTGCTCAGTTCTTCACAAAATTGGATCTCAGGAGCGCATATAACTTGGTGCGCATTAGAGAGGGCGATGAATGGAAGACAGCGTTTAGCACGACTTCCGGACATTACGAGTATCTAGTCATGCCATATGGGTTAATGAATGCTCCCTCAGTCTTCCAATCCTTCGTCGATGAGATTTTCCGGGACATGCAGGGACAGGGAGTAGTCGTGTACATAGACGATATTCTGGTATACAGTCCTACCCGAGCAGAGCATGTAGCCCTGGTGCGCCGAGTATTGAGGAGGCTGTTGGAGCATGACCTATATGTCAAGGCAGAGAAATTTCTGTTCTTTCAGAAGTCGGTCTCCTTTCTGGGTTATCAGTTGTCTGCGTCAGGGGTGAAGATGGAGGTGGACCGGGTGTCAGCTGTGCGTAATTGGCAGACCCCAACCACTGTGAAGGAGGTGCAACAGTTCTTGGGTTTTGCAAATTATTACCGGAGGTTTATCCGGGGTTTTGGACAGGTGGCAGCTCCCATAACGTCTCTGTTGAAGGGGGGTCCGGTGCGCTTGCGGTGGTCAGCTGAGGCGGACAGGGCTTTTGGGAAACTGAAGGACCTGTTTACCTCGGCGCCGGTGTTGGCACATCCGGATCCCTCTTTACCTTTCCAGGTAGAGGTAGACGCGTCAGAGGCCGGTATAGGGGCCGTTCTCTCCCAACGGTCTGGCACACCACCTAAACTCCGTCCCTGTGCTTTTTATTCTAAAAAGCTCAGTCCGGCGGAGCGGAATTATGACGTAGGAGACAGGGAGCTGTTAGCCGTGGTACAGGCCCTAAAGGTGTGGCGGCATTGGCTTGAGGGGGCTCAACACCCTTTCCTCATTCTAACTGACCACCGTAACCTGGAAACATCGAACGGTGGCAGCTAGTACTCCGGGGACGACAACCGCCGAAGCCTGCCCGAACAAGGAGGAGGAGCAGCCTCGGCCGAAACCGTGACAGATGTAAACAAATTTGTGCTCAAAATTTGAGAGAAATAAGCTTTTTGTGCGTATGAAACATTTCTGGGATCTTATATTTCAGCTCATGAAACCAACACTTTACATGTTGTGTTTATATTTTTGTTCAGTGTGTGTGTATATATAGGAATAATGGTGCCTTTTGGGACGTAACCTATGTGTGTTTATGCACACCAGTAACCATCCCGTCTCCTCTCCTCCCGATTCACCAGGGAGGTAACCCAGATAGACCAGTTCCTCCAGGAGACGGCGGCGCGGGAGGCCAATGCCAAGGTGCGCCTGCAGCAGTTCATTGAGGAGCTCCTGGACCGTGCCGACCGCGCTGAGAAACAGCTGCAGATCATCAGCAGCTGCGGGACCACGCCCAACGGCAGCATGGGACGCTACAGCCTGCCCGGCTCCAACAAGGGCTCCAACAATGGACGCCAGGTGAGCTGATCCAAGCCCGGTTTTGCTTTTTAATACACAAATAGTTAAGGTAAGCTGATTCTAGATCTGTAGCCTGCCAGGCTCCAAAGGGCAACAAATGCCAGGTGATCTGGAGTGGAGAGAGGAAGTTGACCGTATAGTAGACAAACAAAAGTCAGATTTGTGTGAGGGGAGCCTAATGGTTAAGAGTTGGGAAAGGTAAACTCATCCTAGATCTGTGTCTGGTGATCTGGAGTGGAGAGGAAGTTGACCTAGATACTGATCTGAGGTAGATTTGTGTGTGGAGCCTAATGGTTAGAAAGGTAAGCTGATTCTAATGTCCCTGTTTAAAAACTCCCCTTCCTTGATGTGAAATAATCAAGTGCGATCTAATGTGGTAGAAGCACCTGCTAACTCCCATAACTCCGAAGCGACAAAGGAAGGAAGGATGCATTCTTCATAGGATTAGATCAGGGCCAATGGCATCTCCACAAATGAGTCACTTCCTGTTGTTACATTGACAGGACAACCAATAGGGGAAGACAAATCCATGGCTGCCTACAAAGCTGTCTGGGGGAAAAGATGTCAGTGACGACTTGTCAAAGTAGCTTTTTACCTTGAATAATGAATAGGCATTGAGTCTATTGAACTGTGCCACTGTAGACTCTCACAGGACAAAACCAGGATGGACTTACATAAACCAGATAGAGCTGGGTCAAGTAAACTGAGTATCTGATTAATAGACTGTGTGTGTGTGGCGTGTGCGTGTGCATGTACTGCGTGTGTGTGTGTGTGTTTACTGAATTGAACAGTTGTAGTTGTACATCACAGGAGGCTGCTGAGGGGAGGACAGCACATAACAATGGCTGAAACGGAGCGAATGGAATGGCATCAAACACATGGAAACCATGTTGGATGTATTTGATACCATTCCAGCCATTACCACGAGCCCGTCCTCCCCAATTATGTTTCCACCACCCTCCTGTGTTGTATATTCATTAATATAGTCCTTACATAATCAACATTCCATGTCACTTATATAATTGGGTCTACAACTGCATATCTTAGTTCCAGTCCCAATAAATTGGGTTATTTTTTGGGGTGATATTGGTATCATTTTAAATGATCAGTGACAAAAATAAATAACTGATTTTGGAGCGACATGAAAACAGACAGTCAGAGAATCTATCCTGGCATGTGGGCTGTGGATGTCTATGTCTGAGACCCAAATGGCAACTTATTCCCTACATAGTGCACTACTTTTGACCAGAGCTCTATGGGCCCTGGTCAAAAGTAGTGCACTGTATAGGGAATAGGATGCCATTTGGGATGCATCTTATCACTTGGGCTATTAGAAACAGGCAAGGCAGGCGTGTTGTGACACGTGTCGACTCACCACAATTTTGCGTTTAATTTGATCTGAGCCGATAGTGAGTGTGTTAAATATTTATTAAACAGAATGGGAGAGCGCTGGACTGTGAATAGCGGAATTGGACAGCGAAGGAGGAGGAGGTGTGTGTGTGTGTGGGGAGCGGGGTGTGTGTGCGTGTGATGATGTGTGTATGCATGTTTGCATGCATGCTTATGTGTGTAGCCGCTGGTCATGTCACCACTCTATTTCTTCATTTACCTCAGAGGTATAATTGGTTGTCTAGGTGTTGTTAGTCATTACTGTTGTTGGGATAGAGATGCACACAGCTTTAATTTAAATGCTAAATAGGTTTTAGCTAATGATCAGGTATTTTGATTACAGGAATCAGTAGTGTCTGACTCACTTGATATCAGGGTTACCCTTGAGGCATGAGGAAATTCTGTGGGGACATTTCAGAATTTCCTAATGCCCTTAGATATGATCTGAAATCTAAAATATTGCATTGGTATTGATTACATGCAGAAAACAACCATACAGTAGAGGCAATGATAATATTCCCCCAGGTTCACTATGCCCCCATATTATAGACCAAAACAAAGTAGACATTGTGATGCATTTTACTAAGATCTCCCCTGCCATTTCCAATTCTCAAATTCTAAAGTGTCATTTATCCAAGTGCTGTGAGCGAGAAAGAGATGGCCAGTTTCTATCCATTTTCCTTCCATCTATCGTTTCCATGGAGACACACCAGTGGCTCTACTTGTTCAAGTCGTCCAGGTCAGGTGATAGCGCAGTAGTTGGTCTCTGATTCATCTTAGATACCACATTCTACTCTCCCCCCTCCTGTATCTTTCCCACCTCTGACCTCTTCCACAGTTGACAGAGTTAAGTGAATGTGTGTTTCCCGCGCCGACCAGATTCCCCACCATTTACCATGCACAACCTGCATCCCATCAAGCTCATTCATTACCCAACCTGATGTAGCCTAGCTAGGATGTCTCCCAAATGGCACCCTATTCCCTACATAGTGCACTACTTTTGATCAGAGCCCTATGAACCTGGTCAAAACTAGTGCACTATATAGGGAATAAGCCGCCATTTGGGATGTAACCCCTAGTCTCCATTAGTGCTCTATTAAGTGGCTAAATTGTCAACATTTTACAGGGCTTGCACTTCATCTGTGTTAAGAGGCTGTTAGACAGTCAGGGATGTGCAGCAGTGTTGCTATGATGCTTTTGAGGCTTGATTTGTGTCCACAGTAGTCATCTTGTTTGTCTTCTGGTTCTTATGAGTCGTTGTTTTCAGCATTATTTTCATTGTGTCCATGGCTAGGATATTATAATATTATAGGACATTTGGCATGCTACGGACACCAGAAAGATACTGCATGCTGGCACACTGGCACATTGGCCATCCAGGGATGCCCCCCCTCTCTGCCATTGCTCACTTTCCCCTCCTCCCTCTCTCTCTCCCCCTCCCTCCTTCCATCCCTCTCTCCGATTATGTTTGGGTAGAGAGTGAGTGAGTGAGATGGATGGGTGTTTGCCTGCTTCCTCCCTGCTCTGTTTCCACTGGCGCTGGGCCCAGACAGGGTTTTCTCTCTCTCTATGTGTGTGTTTGCGGCGCCGGTCCGTGGTGCTGAGTGTGCGCGCACACACACACACCTCAGTACATCTGAGATATTTGGGAAGCACCTGTAGGGAATTGGCTTGAAAGGAGAAAGAGAAGGGAGGTAAAGAGCGAGAGAGTTGGGGAGAAGGAATCTAGAGAGGGTAGTGAGAAAAACGGAGTGGTGCTGTAGATGGAGGTATTGGGCGAGAGGAGGAGAGCGGGATAGAGGTAGAGGGATGGGAGACAGCGTGAGTTCCTATACGGTAGGTAAAGGGAGGGGATGAGACAGATGGAAAAGCAGAGGGAACGAAGAAAAAGTGAAAGGGAAATGTGGCAGGCCCACGCTCAAAACCTCCTGAATATCTTCAGCTCCTTATGTAAAAGAGGGGGATTACCAACTCTCCCTCCCTTTTCACACTCTTTGACCAGGGTGGTCAAAAGTCGTGCACTATATAGAGAATAGGGTGCCCTTTGGGACGCAGACACTCTCTTTCAGATAGCTCCGATTACACTTCCTTAATGTCAGCCAATTAGCTGCCTTGTTTTCTGCGCCTCAGCCAATCACAGTTAATTATCCCTAAACCTCAGAGAGCATACAGGAGCTTTTCAGTTCCCTCAACAGGGGCGGTGTGTTCAATAGGGCGATATGGGCGACGCACTGCCAAACGGGAAAAGGAAGGGATTTTTTTTCTAATCAATTATATCACGGCAACAGTAGTTATCAGTGTTGTAATCTAGACGTCTGATCTGCCACAGTGCCACTAAATGTCCAATCAGGCTAAAGTCGTGCTTCAAATGGCCCCCCCCCCCCCTTTGGGGCGATTTCAGTCAGGTTGAAAATCGCCCAGAAGTCTGTCATAGACTCCCATGTAAAATCTATTTTTTTCAAATATCAGAGCTTTCAATACAATCTCTATGGGTTTCTGAGGGCTTGCACTTACGCGCTTTCGTCATACGTAACATATAACCATGAACGTAACTAAGAAAAGAGCGGGTAGCAGCGTCAATCAATTCACTACTTCTATCAAAATGGCTAGGCTTCAGTGCAACTCGATTGTGTCTTTGAAAGAAGTTCCTTTTTGTCGGCGAACAAATGAAGATAAATTGGCAACGAAACAATTAGGACCTCCCAGACCAAATTTAATAATTCAACAGGTTTCTACTAAAGGGGGGAAGTCCTACACCCGAGGATTTTCCAAAAATTGGTACGAACGAAAAACCTGGCTAGCAGGCTGCGATGTAGCTAATGCAGTCTTCTGCTACCCCCTGCTTACTCTTTCACCCTGAAGGTGGCACGGCAGACAGCACCGCTTGGACAGTGACTGGTGTGTAACGGACATGCACCATCTTTCAGGAAAGATTAAGAAACATGAGCTGTCAAAGACCCACATGGATAGCTGTTTGAGATTGTCTGCTTTGGGGAGAGTGAACATTCCCACTCAACTGGATGAGGGATACAGGCTAGCTGTCCGCCGCCACAACGATGAGGTTAGTGTTGATAATCACAAGTTTACTGGAGAACTGAAACTGACAAGGCTGACAAGATAGGACCCTTTTGTCCATTGTTATTGGATAGGAACATAACTTATAACCAGCTCCTGACCTAAATAGATCTTAGCACAACATTTTACTCAACATATCATATTCCATATTCACTATAACAAATATATTTACTACGACATTAGCAAGAACCGCCACATCCTCAGCCGGCTAATCCAGTGTGTGAAGTTTTGCGGAGTGTTTGAGTTAGCTTTGCGAGGCAAAGATGAAACTGAGGGCTCCACCAACCCTGGTAAGCCAACACTTTTGAGATCAGTCAATAAATGCTTCTGGTATTGACTTATATGCTGCCCCTGTCTTCATGTTGTTGCTGGACATATCTTTTTTAAAATGTGTGTAGGTCACCTAAATCATCAGAAAAATTGCCCCCCCTGAGAATTTTTTCAGGAGCCGCCACTGCTAACGATGTTCCCGAACAGATTTCACTTGGTTTCCCAAATTAAGCACTGGGTAGCTGCAGGAACAGGGTTGGAGAGCCCATGGCATACAGAATCTTGTCAGTTTCAGTTCTCCAGTAAACTTGTGATTATCAACACTAACCTCATCGTTGTGGCGGCGGACAGCTAGCCTGTATCCCTCATCCAGTTGAGTGGGAATGTTCACTCTCCCCAAAGCAGACAATCTCAAACAGCTATCCATGTGGGTCTTTGACAGCTCATGTTTCTTAATCTTTCCTGAAAGATGGTGCATGTCCGTTACACACCAGTCACTGTCCAAGCGGTGCTGTCTGCCGTGCCACCTTCAGGGTGAAAGAGTAAGCAGGGGGTAGCAGAAGACTGCATTAGCTACATCGCAGCCTGCTAGCCAGGTTTTTCGTTCGTACCAATTTTTGGAAAATCCTCGGGTGTAGGACTTCCCCCCTTTAGTAGAAACCTGTTGAATTATTAAATTTGGTCTGGGAGGTCCTAATTGTTTCGTTGCCAATTTATCTTCATTTGTTCGCCGACAAAAAGGAACTTCTTTCAAAGACACAATCGAGTTGCACTGAAGCCTAGCCATTTTGATAGAAGTAGTGAATTGATTGACGCTGCTACCCGCTCTTTTCTTAGTTACGTTCATGGTTATATGTTACGTATGACGAAAGCGCGTAAGTGCAAGCCCTCAGAAACCCATAGAGATTGTATTGAAAGCTCTGATATTTGAAAAAAATAGATTTTACATGGGAGTCTATGACAGACTTCTGGGCGATTTTCAACCTGACTGAAATCGCCCCAAAAGGGGGGGGGGCCATTTGAAGCACGACTTTAGCCTGATTGGACATTTAGTGGCACTGTGGCAGATCAGACGTCTAGATTACAACACTGATAACTACTGTTGCCGTGATATAATTGATTAGAAAAAAAATCCCTTCCTTTTCCCGTTTGGCAGTGCGTCGCCCATATCGCCCTATTGAACACACCGCCCCTGATCGTTAGTAACATGTTTTCACAACCAAACATATTTAATTAAACTGTTGACAGCCCCCATCTCTGCACGCTCGAGAAAGGAATGAAGGAGAGAGAGGAGGAGATGGAAACTCACGGTGGTGAGATATTCTTTAGCTAAAGGTAATATGTCAACCTATTAATTATGAAAAGATAAAAAATGCCCTATTACTAGGCTATTCAAAATCAAATACAAATTCACTATACCGCAGGCTATACTGTAGGCTAACTCTGTAAGCCACCCTGCACAATCAATGAACCAACCACATCACCAAGGCCTATAAGTTCTCTCCCAGACTCATGGATAGAAAGCGTAGCATAAGGTAACCTGTCCATCCAGTATCCATAATAATACAGTCCACACTCAAAAGCGATCACTAGAATTTGTTACATTTTGGAGTATTGGCTAGACCAATTATGTACCAAAGACATCTTAAATCAGTATAAAAAAAGGTAGGTAGGCTATGTATTGTATAACGGCACAATCATTATTTTAATTCATTTAATTTTTTCGGGCTTGAGCTCAAATACAGTATAGGCCTATGCGTATGCATACAGTATATGCGTATGGGTTTAATCAACACCTTAGAAAGCACTGTCCATTTCATTGTTATGCTTTGAAACAACATCCACAACGACCATGTTTTCCACTCAGTTTCTTTCTTCAATCTTATCAGTCACAGTGAGGTGAGTTTGAAAAGCACAATACTGTTTTGATGATAAGTGTTTGATGTGATTTTCGATTTCATTTGCATTGATGTCAGAGTGGTTAGATGGACAATAGAGCCCTGAGTACCAGGCCATTAGAGACCTGATGGTCGTTAGCGAGTTGGGTACTACCAACGCATGTCCAGGGTGCATAAGGAGATTTACTGCGGTCATGACTCATAACTGCTGGTGTGGCGGTAATAGGGTCACCCCAACAGCCCTACTCGTGCCCCTACTGTCATTGATATTACAGCCTTTTTCATTGCGCCATCTTGGTCAGGTCATTATTGTAAAAAATTATGTGTACTCAAGGACTTACCTAGTTAAATAAAGACAAAAACCAGTGCCTTCAGAAAGTATTCATACCCCTTGACTTATTTCACATTTTGTTGTTACAGCCTGAATTCAAAATTGATTAAATATTATTTTTTTCTCACCAATCTACACACAATACCCCATAATAAAGTGAAAGCATTTTTTTTAGAAATTGTAGCTAATTTATTCAAAATGAAATACAGAAATATCTCATTTATATAAGTATTCACACCCCTGAGTCATTACTTTGTAGAAGCACCTTTGGCAGCGATAACAGCTGTGAATCTTTCTGTCTCTAAGAGCTTTCCACAACTGGATTGTGAAACATTTGCCCATTATGCTTTTCTAAATTCTTCAAGCTCCGTCAAATTGGTTGTTGATCATTGCTAGACAACCATTTTCTGGTCTTGCCATAGATTTTCAAGTAGATTTAAGTCAAAACTGTAACTTTGCCACTCAGGAACATTCAATGTCTTCTTGGAAAGCAACTCTAGTGTAGATTTGACCTTGTGTATCAGGTTATTATCCTGCTGAAAGGTGAATTCATCACCCAGTGTCTGGTGGAAAGCAGACTGAACCAGGTATTCCTCTAGGATTTTGCCTGTGCTTAGCCCCATTCCATGTCTTTTTTATCTTGTAAAACTCCCCAGTCCTTAATGATTAAAAGCATGCCCATAACATGATGCAGCCACCACTATGCTTGAAAATATGGAGAGTGGTATTCAGTCATGTGTTAAGCAAATTTTGACTCCTGAACTTATTTAGGCTTGCCATAACAAAGGGGTTGAATACTTATTGACTCAATACATTTTAGCTTTTCTTTTTTATTAATTTGTAAAAATGTCTAAAAACATAATTCCACTTTGACATTATGGGGTATTGTGTGTAGGCCAGTGACACGAAATCTCAATTTAATCCATTTTAAATTCAGGCTGTAACACAACAAAATGCGGAAAAGGTCAAGGGGTGTGAATACTTTCTGAAGGCACTTGTAGGTAAGATTGTGCTGGATAGAAAAGTCATCCGTTGATGCACTTCCATCACAATGTTTTCACCTATCCTATATTCTCAAATCAGTTTAGATGACGGAAAGGAGACGAGAAGAAGACAGTTTTCCTATTGAGATGCACCCCTTGTCTTTTTCCTAGTCAGAAATCATGTTTGAACCCTGCTGATAGTGTGTGTGTGTGTGTATATACAGTGTCTTCGGAAAGTATTCAGACCCCTTGACTTTTTTCACATTTTGTTACGTTACAGCCTTATTCTAAAATTGATTAGTGTTTTTTTCCCTAATCAAGCTACACACATTACCCCATAATGACAAAGCAAAAACTGGTTTTTAGAAATGTTTGCTAATTTATAAAAAAAATCAAATGTAAATATTACATTTACATAAGTATTCAGACCATTTATTCAGTACTTTGAAGCACCTTTGGCAGTGATTACAGCATCAAGTCTTCTTGGGTATGACACTACAAAATTGGCCCACCTGTATTTGGGGAGTTTCTCCCATTCTTCTCTGCAGATCCTCTCAAGCTCTGTCAGGTTGGATGGGGAGTGTTGCTGCACAGCTATTTTCAGGTCTCTCCAGAGATGTTCGATCGGGTTCAAGTCCGGGCTCTGGCTGGGACACTCAAGGACATTCAGAGACTTGTCACAAAGCCACTCCTGCGTTGTCTTGGCTGTGTGCTTAGGGTTGTTGTCCTGTTGGAAGGTGGACCTTCACCCCAGTCTGAAGTTCTGAGCGCTTTCATCAAGGATCTCTCTGTTCTTTGCCCCGTTCATCTTTGCTTCGATCCTGACTAGTCTTTCAGTCCCTGCTGCTGAAAAACATCCCCACAGCATGATGCTGCCACCACCATGCTTCACCGTAGGGATGGTGCCAGGTTTCCTCCAGACGTGACGCTTGGCATTCAGGCCAAAGTTCAATCTTGGTTTCATCAGACCAGAGAATCTTGTTTGTCATGGTCTGAGAGTCTTTAGTTGCCTTTTGGCAAACTCCAAGCTGGCTGTCATGTGCCTTTTACTGAGGAGTGGCTTCCGTCTAGCCACTCTACCATGAAGGACTGATTGGTGGAGTGCTGCAGAGATGGTTGTCCTTCTGGAAGGTTCCCTCATCACAGAGGAACTCTAGAGCTCTGTCAGAGTGACCATCGGGTTCTTGGTCACTTCCCTGACCATGGCCCTTCTCCCCCGATTTCTCAGTTTGGCCGGGCGGCCAGCTCTAGGAAGAGTCTGGGTGGTTCCAAACTTCTTCCATTTAAGAATGATGGCAGCCACTGTGTTCTTGGGGACCTTGTGCCTCGATACAATCCTTTCTCGGAGCTCTACGGACAATTCCTTCGACCTCATGGCTTGGTTTTTGCTCTGACATGCACTGTCAACTGTGGGACTCTATATACACAGGTGTGTACCTTTCCAAATCATGTCCAATCAATTGAATTTACCACAGATGGACTCCAATCAAGTTGTAGAAATCATCTAAAGGATGATCAATGGAAACAGGATGCACCTGAGCTCAATTTCGAGTCTCATAGCAAAGGGTCTGAATACTTATATAAATAAGGTTTATCTGTTTTTATTTGTTATAAATTTGCTAACATTTCTAAAAACCTGTTTTCGCTTTGTCATAATGGGGTGTTCTGTGTAGATTGCTGAGGATTTTTTATTTATTTAATCCATTTTAGAATAAGGCTGTAACATAACAAAATGAATAAAGTGAAGGGGTCTGAATACTTTCCGAAGGCACTGTATATAATACTGTATTGTTTGGCCCCTGGTGGCTTCTCACAGCTTAACACATGTATTTATATCTAAAGAAGAGCTGTTGATTCTCATTCTTTGATTAACTACACACACAGTATGTTAATATTTCATTTGGGAATGTGAGTGTTTTAGCCAATCACTGCCTCCGTTGAATGTGAAGCTGTTTTAAATGAATCCGCTCTTGGGCTTTGAATGAGAGTACGTCCTAATTATTATGGGTCATTTCAAAAGGTATCACACCTATACACCAGCATTTGAAGTAAGTCTATGTTTTATGTGCTTCAGTTTATAGTGGTTGGTTGGTGTGTGTGTAAATAGTGTTTATTTGAAACATGGAGTAGATTGAAGAGAAGCACTAACAGTGGGATGTGTTGTTGACCCTTGACAAACAAACTATCCTCTGAACAGAACACAGCAGTAAATAGTTGCAGGGCACAACAACAGAATATTTAGGTCTATTCAACATTCACTGTGAGTTACAGAACACAGGAGATTGGTGGCACCTTAATAGGGGAGGATTGGCTCATGCTAATGACTGGAGCGGAATTAGTGGAATGGTAACAAATACATCAAACGCATGGTTTCCAGATGTTTGATGCCATTCCATTTGCGCCATTCCGGCCATTATTATGAGCCGTTCCCTCAGCAGCCTCCTGTGTTACAGACAGGACACAAACAGAGGAGTATTTTCACTACAAAGTGTAAAGTCCTGTTTTTTTAAAAATATTTTATTTTAAAGTATCAGAATTCAAGGAAACCGTTTAATGCATTGACACACCTGTCGCTCTCCGCCCCATCTCTCTCTCTCTCCCTCCCTCTCTCTCTTTCTCAGAGGAACTCCAGTATCTCGGGGACGTCCAGGGGCATGTACCAGGTCTCAGACCGACGATCCTCTCCCAGCACCGGGTAAGCCAGTCCTCCACACGCTATCCCTCACTGCACTGCTCTCCGCCACACAAACAAAGTAGCATAAACTTGCCCGTACACACTGATCTAAGGCCAGTTGTGTCCCCTCCCCATGGTTGAGGTTGGAATAGAGGGAGATGAGCTGATTCTAGATCTGTGCCTATGGGTGACCTCTATATCCCATCTTCACTCTCTGCACTGTAAGTGACTTTGGATAAGAGTATCTGTTAAAGGTAAGATGCAATGCAATGCAACCCCCTGGTGCACTTAGGTACAGTGACTTGATGTGGGGCCCTATGCTTGGAGTCCAGTAGATGGATTCTGAGCACCAGACCGTGGTCTGAAGTGAGGCGGTGTGCATCAGACTGTGGCAACACTGACTCAGACCGAACTGGACTCCTGCCCCCACCTTTGGAAGGTATCAGAGGGCACCAGCCAGGTAGTGTTTGTCCAGTACTGTGCCCTGGCCCCTGACAGCCTCACAAAACACAACACAACATCCTGTTTAACTGCCAGGCGCTGAAGTGAGGCCGACTCTGTCAGCAATGCAGAAACAGTAGGGGAATGTTCTGTCCTAGCTCTCCCTCCTGCCACTATGCATTCCCACTCACACCAAACGCACACAAGCAAACATGGCACACACATACACACAAAAGCAGCCGAGGGGCATCGCCACTGCTCTTTGACACATGCTTGTAAACAACGGTGGTCAAAGACAGTAAGGACTTAGTGTCATTCTTGCTTTCTCAAGCCTGGCTGCCTCTGTGGGGAGAGGGAGGGAGGGAGGGAGAGAGGGAGAGAGGGAGAGAGGGAGAGAGGGAGAGAGAGGGAGAGGGAGAGAGGGAGAGAATTTTTGTAAAAAGCTCCCTGTATTAGTGAACTATGTGATTATGTTGGGTATAAATAAACAAGCAAACATTACATTGGAATGAAATAGTAAGTTACAGGTGCTTTTCGCACTATTAATTATTCAATTCTAAATGTTGAAGTTTCACTCACTGACACTAAAGTCACCCTATTGGCTTTCAGATCGTCACCGACTGATTTGCTTATCTTTGTGCAATGATGCATCTTCATGTGTATTTTGATTTGAGTGGCTCATTGAATGGTCAAAATTAGACCCCTATCTCATGCATTTTGAGATACGCATCTCACAAATGTTGCTTCACTGCTGATCCAAACCCACCCACACTGGGCTGCATCCCAAATGGCATCTTATTCCCTATTTAGCACACTACTTTTGTAAATAAAAAGGGAATAGTGTGCCTTTTGGTATGCAGCCCTGGAGCCCTAGTATGATGATCAAGCTCCATATCACCATATTATCATATCCACTCAGAACATTGGGAATAGTGTATTTTTTGTTCAGACTAAATTTAGACCTTTTTTGCATCATTATGTAAGCCACCTTAACTCTGTGTGTGTTTGTGTGTGTGCACGTGCGTGTTTCTGTGAGTGCGTGTGCGCGCACGTGTGTAACACATGACTTACCATCCTTCTGTCACACAACTTCCGCGTGCCTCAGACGATGACATCATCCCTCTTTGTCCTTCGTTTTTGGCGAGACAATCATGACGTCACACACACCCCTGCCAGGCCTTCCCCAGGACAGTGAATCACGATGGTAGTTAGTCACTAAGTGACCCTTTCACTTCCTAGATTAGAACATTCCATAATTGCCCTCGGCCTACCAGAGATGAATATTATTTATTTGTTCCAAATGCAGTGACGGAAGATGCTATTTAGGTGCTTGTTTGATGAAAAATAGATATTTGACACTTTGCATATTTGGGTTTAAAAATATATTCTATTGTTGCTTTATTGACGTGGTCTTTATCGTTCACACTGAAATCATCGACTCCATTTTGCACCGAGATGGCTACTCTGTCGCCCATCCTGAGCCCCACTGTGCATTACTGGTCAGGAAACTGTACTTCCCTGTTATACACTTTGAATAATGATCTGTACCCAATTAGCCAGCTCTGCTGATTGATTCCACAATATTGATCCAACATGTGGCTTTTATTGCTAAAGCCACCACTCCAATATAGGTTGTGTACCAAGTGCCACCTTATTCCCTATACAGTGTGCTACTTTTGACTAGAGCCCTATCTGCCCTGGTCAAAAGTACGGCACTATAAAGGGAATAGGGTGCCAATTGGGATGCAACCAAAGTCACACTGCGAAGTGGCCTCTCCTCTGTTTCTTAAGCGGTGTCACTAGGGTCTATGTATGCGTATTCTCCCGTAGTGGAGATGAGGTGAACACATGCACCTTTGGGACTATTCCATTGGTTCCATGGTGCCAGGCAAAGCTCAATCAAGCACAGATGATGTATTTAAAATAAAAAAGTACTATTTGAATCCAGGTCTGGTGTGGATTTACCAGGTTCACCTGGAATCTCTATCTTCATACCAACTTCTAATTATTACACTGCAGGAGTCGTATAGCAACTTGATATAATCACCTAGACTGTTTTACATTCACTCTGAATTCAGGATGCATTAGCTACGGTCGCTAATTAGCTAGCTGTTGTGTTTGATGTCAAAGTCATGTAGCGTGTGTACATGTCAGTGCTGAAAGGTTGAGGAAGGTTCACTGATTGTTTTGTAGAGTTTTAATGCAGTTATGTAGGACACAAAAGTAATAACGGAACCGGAAAAGCCTTATAATTATTTACCATTGTAATTTTGTTAAAAAAAGAATACAAGTATGCACTAATATCACACAAAGTGAATCTCGATTAGGTTTTGAAGGACTGAATGGAAGTCTGCCTTTTGGTGTGCAGTTCATAACCTGGGTATGCCAGATGATCTATTCTGTTCTATTCTATTTCGTTACTTGCCTATTATGTAGAGGAAAGTTATCGGTATAGTAATTTAACAACATCTTCACTCTCTCTCTCTCGCTCTCTGTCTGTCTCTCTCTGTCTGTGTGTGCGTGCGCTCTGGCTGCTTCAGAAAAAGCGCTGTTTCCAGAAGCAGTCACTGTAGTCAATTTTGCCCCAAAGCAATCCCTCCCTCACTCCTCATGATCTAAATTGGTCTACTTCATATTTCATCAGAGCTTCAAGGACTTTTATGCTGAAGTAGTATCTTCACTCTCCACTGATGTTATTCTACATTTTGAGATAAGTCTAAAATAGTTGTTGTTGTGTAGTTGAAGCGTTGTGTCAGCACCAAGAGTTTGTCTTTGTCTATGCATGATGAAGAGGGGATGTGTTTACAGCTTGGTTTGATATGCTGGCTTATGAACTCCAAAATGTCTCCCTCAGTTGACTAAAAACTCAATATCAGAAATGATTTCTGAAAAAGGGATAGTAGTAGACCATAATAATGTTAATGATACATGTTATATAGTGGAGCAGAGTTTTCATTTAACACAAAATCTAAAAGTGCTTTACACGTAGGCATACATGTTTTAAAGCAATTGGTTATATTGAAATGCTGAGGAAAGGGAATTTAACACACATATCTACAGTATCTAGCTACAGTATCTATCTATCTCAAAGAATATGTAATGATATACCAACCTATTAAAAATTCCCCTTCCCATACATACACTACATGACCAAAAGTATGTTGAAACCTGCTCGTCGAACATCTCATTCCAAAATCATGGGCATTAATATGGAGTTGGTCCCCCCTTTGCTGCAATAACAGCCTCCACTCTTCTGGGAAGGTGTTCTACTAGATGTTGGAATATTGCTGCGGGGACTTGCTTCCATTCAGCCACAAAAGCATTAGTGAGGTTGGGCAACTTTACACCGCTCCAGCTGACGCTTGGCATTGCGCATGGTGATCTTAGGCTTGTGTGCGGCTGCTCAGCCATGGAAACCCATTTCATGGAGCTCCCGACGAACAGTTATTGTGCTGACGTTGCTTCCAGAGGCAGTTTGGAACTCGGTAGTGAGTGTTGCAACCGAGGACAGACATTTGTTTATTTATTTTTTTGCAGCTAATTTTACATACAGTTGAAAGTTTCTGCTGTACAAATGCCCGCGGTCTCCACTTAACCCAGTAATAATCCAGAGCACAGGAGCTGGGTATAAATATGAATATGTATATCCATGAAAAATGGCCACTAGCATAAAAGCTGCATTTGTTTTCGCCCTACTTTATTCATGGTTCATATTATTGGTAAGGGAATTATTCCTCCTGTTTTTCAGGCTGACTTTGAAGCACTATGTTGTAAAATATTCAGTAAACTTTATAACCTAAAAGGCTCTGTAGGTGCATTGATTGACAATCACGTACTTGACTCCATGTTGAGGTGTGTGTCTGTCAATGGCGAAAGTGTCCCTCCCTGTCAATGCTACAGGGAAGGACATGTTAAATTGTGCCTCTCTGATTTTTGGGACAAGTAAGCTCATGAACTCCATTCTGGGTAAAAAGAGCTGTCCTCGAGGGCCTTGAGGGGCACAGTGTTTCCACCCAGGACTATGGCCAGAATCTTAGACACTGCCAAGACATTACAGTCAAATATGTCTCTACAAACTTAAAGGGACACACCACATCACTATTCAAATATGTCTCCACAAACTTAGTTAAAGGGACACCCTCAAAACACACCTAGACAAGTGTCTCACACCCAACCCTGTGCAGTTACTATAGTTAAAAAAACAAACTGTGGAAATATTCATTGCGGTTAGCAGATACGTTTCATATTCTTAGTTTTGGAAGTTGTTAATCTTACAAAGGACTCAGTAAGTATTGGTCTATACTGAGCTGTGGAAACCATGGCAACACACTTTTGAGCTGTATAATCATGTGGTATCAGGAAGTGACAACGTGTGGTCACTCTGCTACCACTTCTACTCATCTCAGCCAATCACTGACCTGACAAACAGATCTGGGACCAGGCTACAGTAATGCAGATTGCCTAACTGATGGAACCTGGATAGAGAAATATAATACTGTATACTTTTCAATGGTTCTGTCTGTTAGTTGTCCATATGTAAAGTGTCCACTAAAGGTTCTTTGAGTTATGTTTTTTTACGTGGTGCCTCTGAGTATAACTCATCCCTTCTCTTCCGCTCTCGCCCTCTCTCTCCCCAGAGCGTCGGGCCGGGTCAAGTCCTGCTCCCAGGGCTCGGGCGGGGGCTACGACAGCGGCGAAAGCGTGGAGATGCACCCCATGGAAGAGTGCCCCGAGGGCCAGTACTACCACGTCCAGTGTCGGCTGGGGGAAGGGGGCGGACAGGGAGGGGGCGGACAGTGCTACGAGAGGGCCGGGGTGTCCCGGAGCTGGGGACTCCGCAAGCAGGCCATCCAGAACTGGCAGCGGCGACCGTACCGGAACAGCACGGAGGGGGAGGAGGGTGACATGTCGGACGTGGGCTCCAGGACTACCGAGTCGGAGGCGGAGATGTGGGAGCAGCAGGAGAGGAGGGCCACCATGGCCGAGACGCAGCAGTCTGGAGCACCAAGACAATCTGGATACCGTCTTGGCACAGGTAGGACTGGATAGGAGGCTAGGCTAAGCTAGGCCGCTAATCTTTACCTTGCTTAGGTACAGTACAGTAAGAGGGAAGGCTAGGCTACGTCACTAATGTTTACCTTGCCTAGGCACAGGTACAGTACGGTAGGACGCTACGTCGCTAATCTTAACCTTTGTTGACTGGCCTTTATTTAGCCAGGTAGGAGGCTAAGTCACTTACCATTTGTTTATCCTGATTTATCCTTTGATTGATTGATTGCTTTATTGTTACTCAGCAGATACTTGTAATGTAATAGTGTGTACTGGTGCATTACAGAAAGAATCAGTAATTTCTAAAGGGAACAGCTGTCACACGTCTGGCACACCGTATGACCCTGATAGCCTGCCTGCCATCCTGCCAATGGCACCTGCAGCACACACACACACACACAGACACACAGACACACAGACAGACAGAATCTCCTCCCTCCCTCACACACACACACACACACACACACACACACACACACACACACACCCACACACACAGACAGACAGACAGACAGACAGACAGACACAGACAGACAGACAGAATCACCCCTCACACACACACACACACACACACACACACACACAGAATGCCTCCATCCCCTCCCTCCAACAGACACACACACTGTCCTGCGGCCCAAGCTAACAGTAGTCAGGTCTGTCAGAGAAGGATAGAAGGACGGTGGCTGGTGTGAAACTGGGTCATGGCTGTTCTAGTCCGAGGTGTTCCAGGGTAAGGCTGTCCAGAGAACAGTGAGGGACGACTAATGACCAGAGCGCTCCCCAAACTGATTCCGAATCAGCCCAGGGTGCCCTGTCATAGAGGGATGACTTTTCACCAGACTGCTCTACACACTAGCCAGATAGATGAGGCATGAACAACCTCCAGGGGATGGCAATGGATGACAGTGTGTGTGTGCACGTATGTGGATGCCTTTGTGTGTGCTTGTGTTTGTGTACCATTCCCAGTCTTTATACTGTCATGTGACAGTATGACTAAACTTTCTCATATTGATAGAGTCATAGGGCTTTCTTCAAAAGTAGTGCACTATAAATGGGAATAGCGTGCCATTTGGGACGCAGTCATTGATAATGTTGATGAGAAAACCAATGGATAGCTATTCTTTACCTCCTCCACTCCTGGTTCAAACACAGCAAGCATCTATCTCTCTCCCTTAATTGCCTTCTCCAGCCAAGATCCCACGATTCCTGGCTGGCGACCTCCATTTTATCTAGAAACACCTTGCTTGTGTCTCAAATGGCACCCTATTCCCTATTTGGTGCACCACTTTTCTACTAGGGACAGTAGGGAATAGTGCCATTTGGGATGCACACCTTTTGCACATGGCATTAGCCACAGTCAGAGAGACCAGGTGCATCATGCTAGGAGAGAGTAAGGATGCTTCCCAAATGGCACCCTATTCCCTATATGCGCCCAGGTCAAAAGTAGTGCACTATAAGGAATAGGGGGCCATTTAGGATGTAGCCTTAAAACTAGGACAGAAGCCATTGAAACATGCCCATTTTGCCTTACATGGACACATTTTGGGCAAAAGATAGGCCTACCCTATTTCCTGTGGGTCCTTTTGGCTACAGCTACTTGGTAAAGGAGCTACTGTAAACCCAAATAGGCAATAAAGCTGTCATTTTTTACACAACCCAGAATGTCTCGTATGAGAATTCAAATTGGCACCTCCAACATTACATAATATTACTTGTCATGTAAATTAGATGTTATATTCTGACATTGCCCTCCATGTAAGATTCTCAAAGCATTTGCCAGGATTGAGTTTGAAATGGCACATATCAACATATCACACAGTATGACTGTTAGCATGCATTGGTAAATCGCTAGCTGGCGTAGGCGGTGTGCCTCTAGCTGCGAGGCCTGTTGCTTCAAAGGCCTCCTTCGCTTCTTCTTTTCCAAGGCCAACAGCGATGACATGGGAGGTGACTCATCACATGGATTGATGCCTGCTGGGAGAGATGGATGCTAGAGTCGGTTTGGTCACATTGTATTGGCCAATACAGTACATGTCTTCAATGGCAGATCATTTGAATGCTCATGTCTGTGTTTGAGGGTAAATGCAATAAATCTCAAGTGGATCGCTTGCACCACATTGTGGATATTTTGTAGAATGCCACTGTAATATATTTGCGACTCAGGATGGCGTCTCTAACTAACCTCCGTCTCTTTCCCCTCCACCTCTCTTTCTTTGACTAAACTCCCTGCCTCCTCATCCTCCTCTCTTGCTCTCTCCTCTCCTTCACCTTTCTCTTTTCTTTACATACCCGCCTTCTCATCATCCCCCTCCTTTTTCTTCAACCCCCTCTCCCCCTCCCTCTTCCTCTGACTAATATCCCTGTCCCTCCCCCTCCTGTCTATTTCTCTTTTCCCCTCTCCATCACTCTCTTCCTTCACCTAACATCTCTATCCTCTTCTCTCTTTCTCTCTTCCCGACCCTGCAGGGCGGTCCGAGGGGGGCTACCGCCACAACAAGCCGTGTCGCCACGACAAGAGCCCGTCCCGGTCCAACAACGAGGTGATCAGCCCGGAGATACTGAAGATGAGGGCGGCTCTGTTCTGTATCTTTACCTACCTGGATACCAAGACCCTGTTGAGGGCCGCAGAGGTCTGCAGGGACTGGAGGTTTGTGGCCCGCCACCCTGCCGTGTGGACCCGGGTGCTGCTGGAGAACGCCCGCATTTCCTCCAAGGTAGAGGACACGGATTTTACACGCAGAAGAACAGACAAACCCATGTACACACACCATGAGGCTGCTGAGGGGAGAACGGAGCAAATGGAATGGCATCAAACACCTGGAAACCATGTGTTTGATGTATTTGATACCATTCCACTGATTCCGCTCCAGTCATTACCACAAGCCTGTTCTCCCCAATTAAGGTGCCACCAACCTCCTGTGGTACACACACATTATGCACCTGCACGCACGCACACCGATTCTGCTGATAGTTTACTTGCAATAATTGTGATATGTGTTTGTTTTCTCTACACTAACCTAAAAGTTGCATGCAGTAGGTGCTTCGAGCGCCTGCTAAATGACTCAAATGTAACTGTAATCTCTTCGTCCCAGTTCCTGAGTACACTGTCCCAGTGGTGCACCCAGACCCATTCCCTCATCCTCCAGAACCTCAAACCACGACAGAGGGGCAAAAAGGAGATCAAGGAGGAGTACCTCAAGAGCACACGGTGAGAGGAGAGGCGTGTGTGTGTGTATCATGGAGGGATTTCCCTCTGTACAGCGAACAGCAGGGGTCTGCAGTACTCTCCCTCCTTCTGTCTCCCCCATCATCCCTCCTATCCCTCTCCCCATCACCCTAGTCTATAAACCGTAGCAGGTTGAGAATGTGCTGAGTCAGAAAGCCCCAGGCTCTATCTCATTCCTGACATTGTGTGTGTTTGTGTATGTGTGGATGCACAGCCTTGTGTGTGTATGAGTGTGCACACTGCAATTGCATGCTTGCTCGCTTGCGTTCTCCCTCCTTAGCCTTCTGAATACAAAATGGATTTTATTTGATTATGCTTTCCACAAACAAATTGAAAATGTTTTAGTACAAAACATTTAATGCCATGCATTATTAACATTATACTGCTAAGACGGATAAGTCCAGAGGCATAAATTGTTGCAGTGCCTTGTTCAACTCAAGGACAATACTCGTTCTAATTGGTTATTCAGGAACAATGGTTGTGCTCTGTCGCTCTCTCTGTCGCTCCCACTCTGTTTTTCTGTCTGTTTGTCTGTCTCTCTCTCCTCTTACTTTTTCTCCCTCCCTCCCTCCCTCGCAGTGGTTGTCTGGAGGAGGGTCTGGAGTCCTTGCTGAAGGCTACAGGAGGGAACCTATTGATCTTCAAGGTGTCCCATTGTCCCAACCTGCTAACTGACCGCTCCCTGTGGCTCGCCAGCTGCTACTGCCGAGCCCTGCAGGCCGTCACATACAGGTACTACCACCAGGGGGCGATCACACATAATACAGTACAGTCTGTATATATACTATATATAATACAGTTTACATACAATACAATATAGTACAGTGGATTCGGAAAGTATTCAGACCCTTGACTTTTTCCACATTTTGTTACGTTACAGCCTTATTCTAAAATGTATTAAATAGTTTTTCCCCCTAATCAATCTACACATAATACCCCATAATGACAAATGAAAAACAGGTTTTTAGCAGACCCTTTACTCAGTACTTTCTTGAAGGATCTTTGGCAGCGATTACAGCCTCGAGTCTTCTTGGGTATGACGCTACAAGCTTGGCACACCTGTATTTGGGGAGTTTCTCCCATTTTTCTCTGCAGATCCTCTCAAGCTCTGTCAGGTTGGATGGGGAGCGTTGCTGCACAGCTATTTTCAGGTCCCTCCAGAGATGTTCGATAGGATTCAAGTCTGGGCTCTGGCTGGGCCACTCAAGGACATTCAGAGACTTGTCCCGAAGCCACTCCTGCGTTGTCTTGGCTGTGTGCTTAGGGTCGTTGTCCTGTTGGAAGGTGAACCTTCGCCCCAGTCTGAGGTCCAGAGCGCTCTGGAGCAGGTTTTCATCAAGGATCCCTCTGTACTTTGCTCTGCTAATCTTTCCCTTGATCCTGACTAGTCTCCCAGTCCCTGACGTGACGCTTGGCATTCAGGCCAAAGAGTTCAATCTTGGTTTCATCAGACCAGAGAATCTTGCTTCTCATGGTCTGAGTCCTTTAGGTGCCTTTTGGCAAACTCCAAGCGGGCTGTCATGTGCCTTTTACTGAGGAGTGGCTTCCGTCTGGCCACTCTATCATAAAGGCCTGATTGGTGGAGTGCTGCAGAGATGGTTGTCCTTCTGGAAGGTTCTCCCATCTCCATAGAGGAACTCTGGAGCTCTCTCAGAGTGACCATCGGGTCCTTGGTCACCTCCCTGACCAAGGCCCTTCTCCCCCGATTGCTCAGTTTGGCCGGGCGGCCAGCTCTAGGAAGAGTCTTGGTGGTTCCAAACTTCTTCCATTTAAGAATGATGGAGGCCACTGTGTTCTTGGGGACCTTCAATGCTGCAGAAACCTTCCCCAGATCTGTGCCTCGAAACAATCCTGTCTCGGAGCTCTATGGACAATTCCTTTGACCTCATGGCTTGGTTTTTGCTCTGACATGCACTGTCAACTGTGGACCTTATATAGACAGGTGTGTGCCTTTCCAAATTTTACATTTTAGTCATTTAGCAGTCGCTCTTATCCAGAGCGACTTATAGTTAGTGAGTGCATACATTATTATTTTTTTATTTTTTCAAATCATGTCCAATCAATTGAATTTACCACAGGTGGACTCCAATCAAGTTGTAGAAACATCTCAAGGATGATCAATGGAAATGGTCTGAATACTTATGTAAATAAGGTATTTCTGTTTTTTATATTTAATACATTTGCAAAATCTGCAAAAAACTGTTTTCGCTTTGTCATTATGGGGTATTGTGTGTAGATTGATGAGGATTTGTATTTATTTAGTCCATTTTAGAATAAGGCTGTAACGTAACAAAATGTGGAAAAAGGGAAGGGGTCTGAATACTTTCCAAATGCACTGTATGTCGCAAGTAAAAGCCTTGGGTAGCGATTTGATACAGTTCTAAGTCTGGAAGGTAAAACTACCCTCAGACATAGGAAGATGTAAAACTTTCCTTTTTATTCTATGAATTAGTATTACCAAAAATAAATACAAAACCTTCGGGAGCATATGCCATTCTGAAGAGGTTTATTGTATGGGAAGATTATTCCATTTAATTAGATCTGTTTTCATACTGTTCAGTAAATGAATAAAGTTATCTTTATATTTGTTGTTGTCACTTATTAAGCATCCTAAGTATTTAATATTGTTTTTGTGGTCCACTTATACATTGCTGTAGATCATGTGGGAGAGAGGGGACATCCCTGTCTTGTGCCCCTTTCTAAAGGAATTTCATCACAATGTATTATTTGTGTATATTTTAGCTTTAGGACATTTATATATTTATTTAATTAGTTGTTTCTGCCATTAGTGTGTAGCCTAAGCCTAAGCTTTAGGGCCTAACTATGCTCCAATTGCCAAATGATTTTGGGAACTTGGGCAGAAAAAGTTAACGTCGATCCACTGAGGCAAAAAGGACAATGTCGGAGTTTAATTCTATAAGAGAAAAACTGCAAAATGGAGAGTTGAAAATCAATAGAAGGGAGGACCAGAACAATAGCCTAATGTTCGCGAACGATTTGGTGAAGTGGTAAAAGAGGATGATGGCAGTTATTGGTAGAGCATGGCGTTTGCAACGCCAGGGTTGTGGGTTCGATTCCCACGGGGGGCCAGTATGAAAAAATTATAATGTATGCATTCACTAACTGTAAGTCGCTCTGGCTAAGAGCGTCTGCTAAATGACTAAAAATGTAAATGTAAATGTGATGATTGCGTGGCGCTATACAAATTCAACAGTCACAAGACGGGGACTTCAAAATGGCATGTCAATGGAATAGTATCCTGAAATCTGGACACTGACTGTAGGTCTATAACCTCTCACATAACCTAATATAACATTAACTCCTGTAGAATTAAGCATTTCTTGCAGTAAAATTATAGACCAAATGTACATTTTGACTTACAGTAGTGGAGAAATATGATTTATTTATTTCAGCATCTTGAGAGAATGAATGTGTAGTTAGGGGACATCTGTAAAGGTGGTATATTTATCAGCATCATAAAAGCTGATAGTATTTCAACCACATAAAATATGCATCCAAGTCGAACTGAAATCTTATCAGAAACATGTTGGGTAGTATTCACACCTTTTTCATTTCCTTAAAACCGGTCAAACTGATGTCATTTGGAAATTTTGTTTTGAGTTATTGCATTTTCTCCCGGTCCCTAAACGTCTTTGCTGCGCAATAGAAGGAGAGATGAAAGAACTTTACAAAAGTCAACTAGATTGAATCATTTGTTCTATCGATTTATGACATTATTCTGGTGAGCAAGGGTTTATTTAGTATTCTAGGGCAACAATTAATGACAGAAGAGAAGCTGCATGTATCTAATTATAGAAAAGTTGACTAACAAACAGTGTACCAAGATGTGGGAAATTATAAGCAGAAACATAGGCCTTTCTCTGACTGTACAGTATATTTTCTATATTTGCAGTTTAGGGTCTGGTGCGGGCCTAAGATTTTCACTTTATCACATATAGTCGGGTGGTTGCGGATGGGTTATTAGAAATTGCGGGTTATCACTAGCGCGCGTCGATGGGGCAGAAGTCCGTTAGTTATGATTCTGGACGGTCAGATAGTTAGCAACAATGACAAGAAGCTGACATGTGGGGAATTGTAAGTGGCTCATTTCAACTCATTGTATCTTGTTATTGATACCATATCTTGTTTTGAGGTGTTTTGACTCTTATCACATCTATGCAAATATGGCAATAAAATTCTAGCTAGCTAACCAACAACTGTAACGATGTATTTGAGAGACAACAAGTGCTCATTGTGCAAATGTATTTATATTTTCAATAAAGATTTGGAGAGGAAATATAGTTTACATGTTGTCAACAATCCTTTGATTCTAAGCCAACTCCGCCTGTTTTGCTCCACGATTGCGCATGCATCGGTTTTGTTGCTAAACAATCCACCCGTCAATACAGGTACTACCACCAGGGGGTGCTCACACACTATACAATATAATACAGTACAGTATACTGTAAGTACACTAGCATTAAATCTGCCACATTAAATCAGCAGAAGAGCCGCGTTTGGCCCGCGTGCCATGAGTTTGAGACCCCTGATATTATGAATGGGTGTCTAGATGATATACAATGATGTATAGTGACTTGGTGTTTTTTGTTCCAGGAGTGCCACAGACCCCGTAGGACAGGAGGTGATCTGGGCTCTAGGAGCAGGCTGTAGAGACATAATCTCCCTCCAGGTGGCACCACTACATCCATGGTGAGAGGCAACTCTTAGCACACTTTTATTTTATGAATACCGTTAACACATCTATTGTAACGATCTCTCTCTCTCTCTCTCTCTCTCTCTCTCTCTCTCTCTCTCTCTCTCTCTCTCTCTCTCTCTCTCTCTCTCTCTCTCTCTCTCTCAACTTCAGCCAACAACCGGCTCGCTTCAGCAACCGATGCCTGCAGACCATTGGCCGATGCTGGCCACACCTCAGAGCCTTGGGCGTGGGCGGGGCAGGGTGTGGCATTCAGGGGCTAGCCTCGTTGGGTGAGTAAATTCATTTGGATAAATATCTCATGAATATTTAATATATAAACTGATATAGGGACTATTCTTTCAGAAAAAATAAACAATTTGGATTGAAGTGCTATGTATGGCTCATATCAGAGGTATTTGTTGATGGATAGAACTTTGTCTTTCAAGGGGTTATTTGTCACATTTAGGAATATTTTTTCTTTTTCTGAGGAACAAAACATTCTGATTTATTTCTGGCCCATCCACACAGATGGGAAGGGTGATGCGTGCGACTACAAATACCCTCCCAGTCAGAAGGAAATTTAACTATTGAGTTCCTACTCATGATTCACAGCATGCAGGAACAGAGGGAGGAAATTACTTTTGTGGCTAGATGAGAAACAGTTGTCTTGGTGGCCTGTCTGTTTATCAGTACATGAGCTGAGTGAGGATGAATGTGGCAATAGAAAAGGACATTGAGTGCCTATTCCCTAAATAGTGCACTACTCTTGGCCAGAGCCCTACAGTGCCTTTAGAAAGTATTCACACCCCTTGACCTTTTCCAATTTTTTGGTGTTACAGACTGAATTTAAAATGGAATAAATGTAGATTTTGTGTCACTGACCTACATACAATGCCCCATAATGTCAAAGTGGAATTTTTAGACATGTTTACAAATTAATGAAAAATGAAAAGCTGAACTGTCTTGAGTCAGTAAGTATTCAACCCCTTTTGGATGGAAAGCCTAAATAAGTCCAGGAGTAAATATTTGCTTAACAAGTCACAATAAGTGGCATGGACTCACTCTGTGTGAGTCGAGTCTCAAGTCGAGCAGTGAATTTCAAACATACACTACATGACCAAAAGTATGTGGGCACCTGCTCATCAAACATCTCATTCCAAAATTATGGGCATTAAAATGGAGTTGGTCCCCTCTTTGCTGCTAAAACAGCCTCCACTCTTCTGGGAAGGCTTTCCACTAGATGTTGGAACATTGCTGCGGGGACTTGCTTCCATTCAGGCACGAGCAATGGTGAGGTCAGGCACTAATGTTGGATGATTATGCCTGGCTCGCCATCGGCGTTCCAATTCATCCCAAAGGTGTTCGATGGGTTTGAGGTCCGGGCCAGTCAAGTTCCTCCACACCGATCTCAACAAACCATTTCTGTATGGACCTCGCTTTGTGCACGGGGGCATTGTCATGGTGAAACAGGAAAGGGCATTCCCCAAACTGTTGCCACAAAGTTGGAAGCACATAATCATCTAGAATGTCATTGCATGCTGTAGCATTAAGATTTCCCTTCACTGGAACTAATGGGTTTAGCCTGATCCATGAAAAACAGCCCCAGACCATTATTCCTCCTCCACCAAACTTTACAGTTGGCACTATGCATTTTGGCAGGTAGTGTTCTCCTGGCATCCGCCAAACCCAGATTTGTCCGTCGGACTGCAATCTGCATTGCGCATGATGATCTTAGGCTTGTGTGCGGCTGCTCGGCCATGGAAACCCATTTCATGAAGCTCCCGACGAACAGTTCTTGTGCTGACGTTGCTTCCAGAGGCAGTTTGGAACATGGTAGTGAGTGTTGCAACCGAGGACAGACGATTTTCAGCACTCTGTGGTCCCGTTCTGTGAGCTTGTGTGGCCTACCACTTTGCGGCTGAGCCATTGTTGCTCCTAGACGTTTCCACTTCACAATAACAGCACTTACAGTTGACCGGGGCAGCTCTAGCAGGGCAGAAATTTGACGAACTGACTTGTTGAAAAGGTGGCATCCTATGCCACGTTGAAAGTCACTGAGCTCTTCAGTAAGGCCATTCTACTGCCAATGTTTGTCTATGGAGATTGCATGACTGTACACCTGTCATCAACGGGTGTGGCTGAAATAGCCGAATCCACTAATTTGAAGTGGTGTCCACATACTTTTGTGTATATATAGTGTAGATTCAACCACAAAGACCAGGGAGGTTTTCCAATGCCTCGCAAAGAAGTGCACCTATTGGTAGATGGGTAAAAAAATACAATGAATATCCCTTTGAGCATGGTGAAGTTATTAATTACACTTTGGATGGTGTATCAATACACCCAGTCACTACAAAGATACAGGCGTCCTTCTTAACTCAGTTGCCGGAGAGGAAGGAAACCGCTTAGGGATTTCACTATGATGCCAATGGTGACTTTAAAACTGAGGATGGATCAATAACATTGTAGTTACTCCACAATACTAACCTAATTGACAGAGTGAAAAGAAGGAAGCATGTACAGAATAAAAAATATTCTAAAACATGTATCCTGTTTGCAATAAGGCACTAAAGTAAAACGGCAAAAAATGTGGCAAAGAAATTAACTTTATGTCCTGAATACAAAGCGTTATGTTTGGGGCAAACACAACACATCACTGAGTACCACTCTTCCTATCTTCAGGTATAGTGGTGGCTGCATCATGTTATGGGTATGCATGTCATCGTCAAGGGAGTTTTTTAGGATGAAAATAAATGGAATAGAGCTAAGCACAGGCAAAATCATAGAGGAAAACCTGATTCAGTCTGCTTTTCAACAGACACTGGGAGACAAATTCACCTTTCAGCAGGACAATAACCTAAAACACGAGGCCAAATATACACTGGAGTTGCTTACCAAGATGACATTGAATGTTCCTGAGTGGCCTAGTTACAGTTTTGACTTAAATTGGCTTGAAAATCTATGGCAATACTTGAAAATGGCTGTCTAGCAATGATCAACAACCAACTTGACAGAGCTTGAAGAATTTTAAAAAGAAGGTGGAAATATTTTACAATCCAGGTGTGCAGAGCTCTTAGAGACTTACCCAGAAACACTGTAATTGCTGCCAAAGGTGATTCTAACATGTATTGACTCAGGGGTGTGAATACTTATGTAAATGAGATATTTCAGTATTTAATTTTCAATAAAATTGCAAACATTTCTAAAAACATGTTTTCACTTTGTCATTATGGGGTATTGTGTGATTCTTTTTTTTGTAAATCAATTTTGAATTCAGGCTGGTAACACAGCAAAATGTAGAATAAGTCAAGGGGTATGAATACTTTCTGAAGGCACTGTATGTGCCCTGGTCAAAGGTGGTGCACTATTAAGGGAATAGGATGCCATTTGAAAATTAGCCATTCTGATCAGTTCTCACTCATCCTACCATCTAGGTCGAATCATGATGAAACACTATCCGCAAGCTGTTGAATTGAATAATCTCAAATATATCTATATCTGAAATTATCATACAAATGAAAACATACTGTTTGGTTTTGTAGGCTGGTTATGTGCGCTTTCGCTATGACCATCTCTCTTCTAAACTTATTTAGGTAGCATTTTTATTACGTTTGTATTTTGATGTGAGCATTGCTAAAACTTAAACCAATGAACAAACGTAAATCAATGTGTGCTGGCCAGGTGTATATGACTGCTTTAGACTCTAGATAGGTTCTTTAGATATCTTACCCAGCACTTGAAAAATAATGGGTGAGCACATACCAAGCGTCCTGTCCAGGGGGTGTACTTGGGCATCTAGCTGCCTCACGCTACAGAAACATTCGATATTCTCCTGCCCTATGGGCTGTTCTGGCGCGGTCAATGCTACTTACTTACATACTACCAACTAAGTTGTTGGTATCAAAGGCATCTCAACCTCCTCCTCCTCCCACTTCTCTCATCCTCCTCCCTCTTTCCCCCCGTAGCGAGGAACTGCATGCGTCTGCAGGTGTTGGAGCTGGACCATGTGAGTGAGGTCAACCAGGAAGTGGCAGCTGAGGTGTGCAGGGAGGGTCTGAAGGGCCTGGAGATGCTGGTCCTCACCTCCACCCCGGTCACCCCTAAGGCCCTGCTACACTTCAACAGTGAGTACACCCTACACCCTACACTACATAGTACACTACATAATACACTACATAGTACACTACTGGGAGGGTCTGGAGGTTCTAGAAATGCGGGTCCTCACCTCCACCCCCTTCACCCCCAAGGTCCTGCTATACTTCAACAGTGAGAACACCCTACACCAGACCCAGGTTCAAATAAAGATGTGCTTTATTGAGCTTGATTTTTACAAAGGAACCAGTAGAACAATTCCAAAAGTGCAATCCCTTCCCATTTAGCTTTCGATTGCTCAAGCGATGGCTCAAAGTGTTGAGTAAGAACCAACTGCTTTTAATCTTTCTCATCCAGTCAATCATTTCAGATCTACACAAGTGGCTAGGGTATAGGGGCTAGGGGTCCATTTGGAATTGGGTGCGAGTCTGCTGCTTCCGTGTGAGGGCTGTACACACTCTTGCCCCTCCAGGTGTGTGTCGTAACCTGAAGTCCATCGTGGTGCAGATCGGTGTAGAGGACTACTTCGAGGACCCCAACAGCCCAGAGGCCAGGAAGCTCTTTGACGAGATGGTGAACAAGCTGCAGGTAATTTTAACAGCGCTTTAAATTCCGCTTCAGAGACCACATCGACCACACACACACACACACACACACATATTCCATTGAATCCCAATGCTCTTAAAAAGGATCGCATTTTAATCATCTTATAACATTTAAAAAGGGGGTGCATCTCAATACACTTAATAATACTATTAAAACTTACTCTGGATCAGTGCTTTGAGGGCAACTCCTAACTATGTCCAAATAATTTCCTGTCTTTGGGTTCTCTCCTGCCCACAGTATACATATAATTTACATGAATAACTCTGTAGCATCCTTTAGCGATGGTTAGGTGGGTGAGTGAGAGTGGTCTATTATTACAACTCAACCATACTGAACCGTACATGACTCAAAACCAAGTCCAGTTCAGCTGATCGTCTGAGGAATTGAGGAATTGGAATAATCCAGCCACTTTCTGAAGAGAGGAAGTGGGGCGTTGAGGGCGGTCGCACGCCCACGACAGGCGCCATTCAGAGGTTTAAAATTCATCTAAAATTTTATCTACGGGCCCTGGTCAAAAGTAGTGCACTAAATAGGGAATAGGGTGGGTGTGTGAGCCTTCCCTTCTTCTGTGAGTCAGTGAGGAAGGTGTCCCTTTCTCGCTAGCTGATGCTGTGCTAGATTGCTCATAGCCGTTAAGTAACTAACTCCAGAGAGCTAAAAGCGTGTGTGTAATTTCGGCACTGTTCATTTGTCATGGCTGGAGCCAGACGGGGGAGAAGCAAAGCAAACGTTTAATCAAACTCAATGAATCCTCGAGGGGGAGGAACCTATGAGTTATGTGTGTACTGTACAGTCAGTGAAAACCGCTATTCCAAGCCTAGGAACCAGCACAGTCATTCATTTCTTACGTGTGTGCGCAACGGTCTACAAACGTAGTTATATGCTTACTTTTCTGTTTATAAATCCAGCTTCTCCCTGAGACACACAAAACATATTTTAGATTCACACATGCTTAATAGGGCTGTGACGATACCAGTATCGCAATATTTTTTCCATGGTGAAAAAGTATTTAAAAAACCTGCTGTATGTAAAATATTGTGTGCTATAGTTTGGAAAATAAATAAATGTGACTCTGGATGACAACATAAATGATGTTTGTTTCCAACATTAGGGCTATTTTCCTAAAGAAGTTGAATCCGCTTTGTGTTTTGTTTCCTTGCCATGATACTAACGAGTATTGTGATGCTGGTATCGTCCCAGCCCTAATGCTTAAATGCACTCACTCAGATAAAAATAGATTCAGGCACGTTCATTCACACACACACTTTTGATGGTTCAACGGCCTCTACTGTGTGTGTGTGTGTGTGTGTGTGTGTGTGTGTGTGTGTATGCATGTGTCTACATGTGTATGCACAATAGTCTACAAACTAAGAGAGTTATGTTTACTTTTCTCTATATAAACGAGTGTAGCGGGCCTCCCTAGTGGCGCAACAGTCTAAGGCACTGCATCGCAGTGCATGAGGCGTCACTACAGACCCGGGTTCGATCCCGGGCTGTGTCACAGCCGGCCGTCACCCGGAAGACCCATGAGGCGGCGCACACTTGGCCCAGCGTCGTCTGGGTTAGGGTAGGGTTTGTCCCATCGCGCTCTAGCGACTCCTTGTGGCGGGCCGGGCGCCTGCAAGCTGACTTGGGTCGCCAGCTGTACGGTGTTTCCTCCGACAGATTGGTGCGGCTGGCTTCCGGGTTAAGCGAGCAGTGTGTCAAGGAGCAGTGCGGCTTGGCAGGGTCGTGTTTCAGAGGACGCATGACTCTCGACCTTCGCCTCTTCCGAGTCCGTAGGGGAGTTGCAGCGATGGGACAAGACTGTAACTACCAATTGGATATCACGAAAAAGGCGTGAATAAAATAAAAAATAAATATACTTAAAATGAGTGTAGCGGTCTAATCCCTCTTTCTAATCACTCCATCCATCCCTCCTTCCCCTCCAGGGTTTGAAGAAGAGACCGGGCTTCTCCAAAATTCTGCACGTGAAGGCGGACATCCTCTGCTAACCCCCTCCACCACTCAGGACCCCCAAAGAAGAACGGTCGGCCATTTTGTTTCCAGCCACACCAACAGAACAGACCCAGTCATTTGAAACCCCTTGATGCGACGCGAGGACGAAACAGCCTGAAGTACCAGTCAGCCAACACACACATAACTGAAGAGGAAATTCATCAACTGTTGGAGAAAGTGGAAGTTGATAAACATGCTTCTTTATTGTTAAAAATAAAACCAATGTGTTTTCGGCCCTTAGCCTTGACTAAAAGACAGACAGACACCACAGACAGACGCTCCATAGACCACTACAATGCCAACTGGAGAGATGAAAATGGAGTACAGGACAGAGTATAGACAAGACAAGAAGCCTGGGTAGGTCAGGTCTACACCTTACCCTGGAGCATACAAAAACCCAGTGGAGATTCTCATAAAGGGACCAAACCCTCCTTTACCATTGAGATGTACTAGAGAGCTCATCTCCTATCTCTGCAATGGCTGCTATTTTGACCGCATGGGCAGCACCATTGAGGGCTATCTCCATTTTAAAGTAGTACATTTTGTGTGTCCTCTATCCAACTCTATGGTGTGGTAAAGACATCATCAGGCAGGTAACAAGACCAGGAGCCCCTAAGTCTCCGCCAAAACTAACAGGGACCCTGCCTGTGACTTGCTGACCTGCCAAACAGATTTGAAACATAAACTCAACAGGACTATTGGACTTTTTAAATGCTGTAATCTCGGCGGCCATTTTGATTTCAACAGAGAACAGAGCTGTAAGCAGGATGGATGTCATAAAGGAGCAGGCTCTCGTTCTCTCTTTATTCACTGAGAGCATTGCAGAGAATGTGTCTGGGATGCTTTTTATCAAGATGCTAAACTGAGAGCATATTCTGTGGAAAAGCACATGAACAGGAAAGGGATGGACGGTGTGTGTGTTTGTCTTCTCCGAGGATTTTGACCCTGTCCTGAGCCAGAGGAGTTAGTTAAAATAGACCCTCAACTCCCAACCTCTCTCTGTGTGTGTGTGTGTGTGTGTGTGTGTGTGTGTGTGTGTGTGTGTGTGTGTGTGTGTGTGTGTGTGTGTGTGTAAGGGAGGGCAATACATGACATACCAGCTTCAGACTTGGTCAGACATAAAACGAGAAGATATCTTGTCACCTTGAGAACATTTTTATTCCAAGGTCTTTATCGGCCCATCAGTCGCTCCATGGTGTGGTCGCCATGGGAACAGTGCAGTATCAGCCGGGCACCGTCTCTCGATTTTCAGCTGTCAATTACTTTTGTCTGTGGAACTCTTACAGTATCTATAGGCCGGTTGGTCCATAAGGCAGCTACTGTTGATTCGTTTTTAAACAGGGTTGCAAATGGATTCATTATGCCTTTATTTCAGAATTGATGCCATTCATAGCTGTGTGTTCTATCTTCATTTCGTAAAGTGTTTTCTCCAATGTGCCACTAATCTATAGGAGTGTTGTAAGGCAGGCGTTCACACTATTCAAATAACTAGCCACTAGCTCTGTAAGCTACAGTGAATACATACATATGTTACATCCCAAATGCACCCTATTCCCTATGTAGCGTAATACTTTTGACCAGGGCTCATAAGGCTCTGGTCAAAAGTAGTACACTGTATAGGGAATAGGGTGCCAGTTGAGAAATGGCTATATCCTACATCCAGTGCACGCAAACCACAACTTCCATGAGCAAAAAGAGTTGCTGATCGTTGATTGACATGATGCAATTTATGTTAACTGGCTATAAACATAATGTATAATACATGTTACATGTATGTATGTTACAGCCGTTTATTATGATATATACGTTGTTGTATTTACAGCCAGTACACAGGAAGGGCTTTTTATTGTCTGCCCATTGCATGGAGTTGGATAGAGGGCACGTGTTTGCCTCTTTGCCACAATGGCTTCATAAGTGTACCCTCTATCCAACTCTATGGCCAGTTGCAATTTGTTCGATGTCATAGATCAGCTGGCTCTCTCTGGAGCCCTCTGCTGAGCAGGATGACTGATGCAACTACACACAGCTGGTGGAGAAGTAGGAAGTATCTCTGGGTGCCTCCCAAATGGCATCCTATTCCCTACTATGTAGTGCACTACTTTTGACCAGGGCCCATAGGGCTCTGGTCAAAGGTAGTGCACTATATAGGGAACAGGGTGACATTTGGAATGCAGACTTGATCTCAATTGCCTCAAAATCCTCTTCTTGTTTCTTCATCTGCACTGATTGCCTTGTCAAGTGAAAACAAAATGGTGGAAGCTCATTATTAGGCTGTCTTTCACCTGACCAGTTATTTTAGCTCAGCGCAATGACGGTTGAAGAGGACAGAGTTGTTAGACAATTGAGAAAGATAGCCTGTATGTATCCACTCGCAATACTGTACCTTTATTGCTTCAGGCATTCAAGCAAGTCGTCGAGCTCAGGCAACAATGCACACCGACCCAAACCATGCATCCACTCCAGGGAGGCATCTCAAGTCTAATGTGGACTTCTTCAGACAGAAGACAACAGTTGGAAGCTGATCCTCTGGTAGGCTATGATTTATCCTTTGTTCGTAGATCAAGGAAAGGAAACAAGGAGAGAAAGCCATTTTAGACTATTGAGATGCAGCCCGTGTGCTGGAGAGGAAAGGCTGCAGGGCAATCCTTTGCTTCCCCGTTAGTTTTTTCAATGGAGAGATGTTTAGGAAAGTTGAACACCGAGTTCTGTTCTAAGTTATGTGCTGGTTTGTTGTAGTGCTAGCCTGATGTGAACACACACACACTACAGTTGTGGTTGCTCATCTCTCCATGTTCTCTTCCAATACTGAATATTGTACTGCCGTGGTGGTTGTGAAAAGACTAGAGGGGGTTGAAAGACTTGCCCCTCAGAGAATGGAAAGGGGTTTCAAGCAAAAGGTGTTTTTAACATCGCTGTCACAATAGAGAAAACACAATGCACTTGTTTATTTAGGTTGCGCTCCAAATGGTACCCTTTTCTCTGTACTGTATAGTGAACTACTGTACTTTAGACCAGGGCCCATAGGGCTCCGGTCAAAAGTAGTGCACTATATAGGGAGTAGGGTGCCATTCGAGATGCAACTTTAGGGGGTTTTCAGTTCCTGACAATCTTGTCTTCTTTAAGACTGTAAACACTGTACATAATGTTGTTTATAATATAAAAAGATTACTGCATTTGGTGTTATACAAATTAAGGTCATAAGTATAAGGATCTTCATGATGAAAAAAAATAATATTAAGAGTCTACAGGTGTCGATTCTGAAACGTTTTCTCTCCAAAGTCGAGATGCAACTATATTATGTATAAACGGTAGTGTTGAAATTTGCAGTTGTGTACTATAGATACTTTATATTCAATGTTCATCAGAAATGTGCTATAGAGATGGACATTATTTAAGAAAGAAAGAGGATAAAGATTATTTGAGCTATTTATTTCTATAAAAAGAGAGGTCTATAATGTTGGCATGTTTGTGTTCATGCATCAATCATCACGTTGCCTTTAACATATTCTGCTGTAGTGGCTGTAGTTATAAATTAATGTTTAAAAAGATTTTAAGATTGCTTGCAAAGGTTTATGCTGTATTTTATTTTTAATACGTCTGTTGCACTAGTGGGGAAAAAATAAGATAATACTGATATTTAATATTAGTGCTGTTTTTTAATGTTTAAAACGCTTTCTCAGTATTTGACATATTATGATGCACTTTTTTCTAGAGCGCTTTTAGAGGTCCATGATGGTTCTGTAAGATTATGAAAAATCACACTTTTCAGTCAACATTATCATGCTGTTTCCATGGTTTCCTCTGTTGTGTGTGTGCAATAGGTTGGTTGCTCTCTTACATAGTCATGTGATGAAGATTGGTTGATTTGTTTAAACTGAATGGTGGCCAATGAGGGGCAAGAAGTTCGAAGACTTTGACCAGTAGCCAATGGCAATGAAGAGTTTTTAACATGTCACACAATGCAAAACCTATTTTATCGCCTATATCTGTCATACCTCTCTCTCATTGGCTGTTGAAATGTATGGTTCAACTGCATTTCAAGTACTTTTGAGGTTCATTTTACACCAACATGACCTTATGCTCACAATCATGATCGTTACCAGGTATTGGCAAATATAACTACGTTTGTGTACTCTGTGTTTGTGTTGGTTTGCTTTAAAGCTTCTTAACCAGATGTATTGTGTGACAGAAGTCCTGCTGAAATTGTTTTAGAACATACATGTCCTGAAAACAGAATCGAATGAGATTAATAGTTGAAGAGGAGTCATTATGACAAAAACATACTGTATGTCAGGGTTCCTCAACTGGCGGCCCCGGGCACTGATTTTATTTGCATTTTATTTTATTTCTGAGCAACAAAAACTTTTGTACGATTCTTTTTTTTAAATGGTTGGACATAAGACTGTAAAAACAACACCAAATCAGCTCCAATTGATTTTCATTTTAGAAATCTGTTCCAAAGTATTCTCATGCATAATAGAGAGAGATATCTGATGGGATACAAGTGTAAGCAAGGTTTGAAATGATTATGTTTTAGTCAAATATACAGTACCAGTCAAAGGTTTCTTTATTTTTACTATTTTCTACATTGTAGAATAATAGTGAAGACATCAAAACTATGAAATAACACATATGGAATCATGTAGTAATCAAAAAAGTGTTAAACAAATCAACATATATTTTATATTTGAGATTCTTCAAAGTAGCCACCCTTTGCCTTGATGACAGCTTTGCACACTCTTGGCATTTTCTCAACCAGCTTCACCTGGAATGCTTTTCCAACAGTCATGAAAGAGTTCCCACATATGCTGAGCACTTGTTGGCTGCTTTTCCTTCACTCTGCGGTCCAACTCATCCCAAACCATCTCAATTGGGTTGAGGTTGGGTGATTGTGGAGGCCAGGTCATCTGATGCAGCACTCCATCACTCTCCTTCTTGGTCAAATAGCCCTTACATAGCCTGGAGGTGTGTGTTGGGTCATTGTCCTGTTGAA